TGGAGGGAATAAGAGGGACTGCTGGGATACGTACTGGGTGGATTCGGGAATGGGGAAGGGGGGAACAGAGCGCACAGAGGGTGGCGGAACAAGGGCTCGCGAGGGAAGCGGGGAGGCAGAGGGGTCGAAGACGCACCATCGGTGGAGTGAGTTAGAGCCGGCGGGCAACGCTATGCATACCGTCACACCCTGCGACACGCTCCAAATTTGAAATTTAAATTCGGTACCTCTCGCGGGACCACGTTGTACACCGGTTACACACGCACACACGTACTTACACACACGTAGGTGGATGGATGCACACTCACGGAGGAAGATCTATGCACGTCGCGAGCGTGCATACAGGGCGCCCCAAAATTATTTTAGACGCTCTCTGTGCTGACAATCCCGTCTAATTAAAAATCGCTTATTGTTAGCATTGAAAAGTAACAAGTATCGGAAATCGTTGCGAAAGCAGTTGCGGTCGAAACAGATTGTGAAATTTCATTTCACGCTTGGTTTCAAAGATTTCTGATAACGGGACATTTTTTCCAAAGCTGTTAACCCTCGAGATACAGGTTGTGTAAAAAAATGTAGGAATTGTAGCGCGTCGTCTAAGCTCTCTGTGGAGAAAAGGTCGCGTTGAAATTTCATGTAGAATATACTATAATTGTCAAATTGTCCCCTTTTGGGACACCCTGTGGAACGGGCTAAGCGACGGCAAATCAGAATGTTCGCGAGAACAGGATGGAGCAAAAGGCAGGAAGGATGTATCGTCGTTTTCACGACGACCAACCTGCCCGTTAAGTCGTTTCCGCTCGTCGGTAAACACACGCGGGAATAGTAATTCAAGACAGGGACCGTGTCCTTTCACCTCCCATCTGCCCTCCACTCTGCTTTCCTCCCACGACTGGTGAAGTTGTCTCGAGTCGTGTATGATTGTCTTGTCTGCTTGTCGCTGTCGATCGCGTCGAATTCGGGCGAAGGGAACGCTCTTTCAGGATGAGCTTGTTTTCTCGGATGTCAGCCGGAAATCGGAGCGTGGCTCTTTCACTTTGCATTGTATAGCTACCGTTAGACCTCGTTGCTTTCGAAAGGGGTAACAGTGCAACGCAGCGAGGAGAGTCTCCAGAACCAATCAGGGACTCGGTCATGAATCTTTTCCTCTAGCGTGAACTCGTGAATTCATTGACGAACATTGAATTCTTCAATGAAATGTTTCATTTTTCACGAGTTCACGATAGGGGAAAAAATTCATGATCGAGCCTCAGATGTGTGTAGGAAAGTTTTAAGAATAATTTACACCTATTGAGAGCTGATCTATACGCCTACATAGACCAGCAATAATGATATTTTTAATGATATTATATTTTTTTACTCCTCCCTCGAATCTTTAATTCTAAAATTTACTTTGGCTCCTACTTTAAAAGGACCTACTTTAATGCTAAATTGGCAAAAGCAGAAATTCCGACACTATCAGTTGTAAAGTAGGAGTAAATTTTGTACTTGCAGTTCGACCTCTTTTACTGTCTCAGGTCCTACTGTATAATAGAATTAAAGGTTCAACATAGGGCCAAAATTTCGACTCGGTTATTCATAAACTTTAATAATTCCAATTTCAACGCGCCGTTTATTGGTCGCTTTCCGTAGGCTCTACATTCTAAAATTTTTTATCAATAGAAAGTTATCCAATATACGATAGACTATACTTAAACGTCCGCAACGCGTACGTTTCACGTTCAGTGACCGCAGAACGTCCTGCAAAATAACGGTTACTGGCATTGCCCGCGAGATTATCGGCGTCGCGACACCGTCTTTTCTTCCTGTTCGCTTGGCAAGCTTTTACCGAACGTACGTAATCGCATTTTCCTCGGTTATGAACCAAGTCACGAGAGAGAAAGAGGGAGCGGCGTCCACAATTTTTTTTCGTTCCCGCGCGTTCTCTCTCTCTCTCTCTCGTCCCCGCCGCTCCTCTTCTCGGCATTCCACGACGACACACGCCGCGAGTGGCTCGCGTCGTACGACACGTGTCCGACGGACGAAGGCGCATAATGCACGTGTTGCACGCACGATACGTAGCGGCTGCACCGACATGTGACGACCGCCGCCGTCGCGTCATCTCGCATCGGCGGGCGGCCTGCACTTTCTCTTTTCGCGTCGATGATCGCGCATCGTAGATGCGGCCGATCAGCATAGGATCTTTACACCGCACCGTTATCTTCACCCCGTGATGCCACGCGCTTGTGGCGAGGTAACTCCGAGATCAGCGTCAGTCGGACAAAGTCCTGACACTTGTGCTAGCCCTAACAATAAGACGAATTTTCAAAGGGTGAGAGTCGAAGTGTGCGAATCAAGAAGTAGTAAAAACCGCGTGTCGCAGCAAAAGTCACAGCGAGAGGAAATATGATGATATTTGCGTAACGAATACAAAATATACAGAACGTTCTTCCGTACTTTTTAACAAAAATTTAGATTAATTTTGTTCTCTCTCTCTCTCTCTCTCTCTCTCTCTCTCTTTCTTTCTCCCCATTCTCTAAATAAAGTTTTGTATTCAATTTTTAGTACCATAAAATTGATTTCAAATCGACCGTTGCAATTGATCGTGGATAAAAGGAAGTGCAACCTTTATAGCCTTTTAAACGAGGAGGAAAATGGCCAGCGCTTGCGGTTCCTTTAATAGCCGCTATAGTGATACGATTGAATAGTTGCTAAAACGTCATGACAGTCGATTGAAATTGTTGCCAGAGTCATGCTCGTCGAAATTATAACGGAGTACTTTAGCATCTCTTCCCGCGGTCATCTATGCCCATAGCTATAGTTATCTTATCCCGGTATTACCCTACACAGCTGGTACAGCGATATAGCTGGTACGCGTATAGATTGGAAATGGCTCGGAGTAAACTCGATAGTTTCTATACGGAGACATATCCGTTTCTTACGTGGCCCAAGTTCATTCGTGTCACTACGTAATGCCAGATCGATCCGAGGGCTTTGTCGTGCCATAATTCGTTCTTACGTCTCTTCGAGAAATAGACATCATCTATGACGTAACACCCGAGAGGGGCGGAAGCGGCGCTGTTTAAGATGTAAATTTGAAGAAACGCGATTATGAAACCGCGAATCCATGTCGGATATTCGTCGAGTAAATCTCGCCGGCGTCGGGGAATAATCCCCGAGGTCAATCTGCTAAGGCTTTCCGCGAAGTTTATTAGGAACGATAGAGACGATATAGAAGGAGCCGAGCTCTCTCTCGGATCTTAACCCGTGAATTCGGTTGCGCGAAGGCGCGCGTGCCTATATATCCTATAAGTTCTTCACGAGAGCACTCGAATTAGATCGGCACGCTGCAGCGCAAACTCCACTCCTGCGAGATACTCTTCACAATGGAATGGCTTAGAGGGCAACTGATCCGGCAGCTTAAAATGGAGTATCCCTTCGCGATACTAATGCCCGCCGTTATCAAACTCCCGCGCATTCGAAAATATACACGTATATTCCCGTGAAGCGGTCGTGCAATACGCTCCTTCATTTAGATGGAAGATAAAAATTGCTACAGAGGGAAGGTTTTATTTTGCAATTTAGGTTGGAATCGCCTAAAAATTTGTTTAGGTCCCTGTTGGACCGGGACCTCGTCCCAGATTAATCCCAAAGTTACATTCGGCACAATTTTATTTTTTATTTTTTTTTTTTTTTTTTGAGCACGCGACCTGTCGCTCACACTCTGCTTCGCATCGGTTTGGATGCAGCGAGATAATTGCAGTTCGCGCGAGTGCCTCTGTCGAAACGATCGGTGGCGGGATGGGAGATCGATAGGTGAGGAGAGATAGAGAAGCGTGCGAGGGGAGGAAAAGGGTCGAAAAAAAATGGGACAAATAAAAAATGGATTTTACAGCACGCAGTTTCCACCTTTGAGATTCCATTCGACATCGACGGCGCGGGTATGTTCTCATTCCTGTCGCGCTCTGACCTAAGACTGCAAAGGCCCGATATCTAGATAGAAACTCTATAAGGACAATCGTTGCTAGAAGCTGGCTAGGTAGATAATTTAGTGCGATATGGGTTTGGATATCGCGAAATGAAGGGAAACGAGGAAGAGAATGGACTGACTGTAAAGAGGAGGGAGGCGGAGAAAGGGCACGAGAACGGAACGGTGAAAAGGAGATGCAGGAAGGAAGGACGAGCGGGCTGTCAAGATTGAAGAGAGAGAAGGACGCTGGAGGTACAAAGAACGCGAAACGAAAGGAAGAGAGACGAATGGGCGAAGGAGGAAAGAGGAATGCGCCGGGCGCGTGGATGAGAGGTGAAGAGAGGAAGAACGAATCGACGAAAGGGAGAGAGAGGAGAATCGAGGGTTGGTGGCGGCCCAGACCCGGTCGATACGACCACTACCACCAACATCACCACCGCCACTTCTACCACGACGAGCGCGATGCAGGACAGAGCGCGGAACTTGGTTCCTGCGCGAATGCATGCACCGATACATAGTGGGATCTTCCCGTTTCTTTTTTCTGACCTTACGTGCCCCTCTCTTTCTCGCTTCCTCTCCCTCCCGTTCTTCATCTCCCGATATTTTTTCACCCCTCGCGCTCTCGACGATCCGCCATTTTGGGAGGGGACGTCTCCCCCCCTTCAGTGGGTCGATTTCCTCACGATGACTTTGGCACGTACTTACTATCTTCCTTAAGATGAGCCCAGACAAGTCTGGCCGTAGTTTTAATTTCGTAGCGCGCTCTGTTGTAATATAACATTGAGACGTGTAATTAGATCTGGTGGACGCTGTGCGATTGTATGAAATAAGGCAGTTGAAGAAGTCGCATTGCGAGAGTAGGTGAAAGTACAAAAGAACTTGGGGAATTCTGTAAAGTTAGTCATCGTCGCTCTTCATAAGATACATTTTGTTGTCCCGCAACGAAGGGTGGGGAAACGATAAAAACACAAATGAGATGGCGATTTATTTGTTATTATATTACAAGTTGCTCGATGACGCGCATACTCACATTGCGTTTTCTTTGTGATTGCAGTTGTTCTCTTGGACACGACGACGGAAGAGAAACTCGACTGGACGAGATACCCGTTCGGGCCTCAAGCTAACACTCCTGGCGTAAGTACACCGAAATTTCCATCGCACCGGTCGCACGCCGACGTGCATAGAAGGCATCAGGCATCAGGCTTGTTCTTAAAACGGCGAGAAAACTTTTTCTTCTCTTCGATACGAAGAATAATTGTAACCTTCGAAAGCATCGGGAATACGAAAGTAAGATCGGCGGATTCGCCCCTCCTCGATGGAGGGACGAAACAATTTCTTAAATATCGCGAATTTCCATGGAAATATTCGACGTGCCGGCAGCAACACGGGGAAATTCCCGTCGACATAGGAATTCCGCTCGCTCGCTCGCGCGCACGCCCGGCATCCTTTTCCGCGCGGCCAAAGGGAAATATTAAAAATGTCTCAAACATAAATTAATACTCCCTCGGGAGGTCGTTGCACGCGATTCAGCGGCCCACTCTTTCTCTCCTCCGGCGATCGTAACAAAGGGACGCTTAGATAGAAAAAAATTCCAGGACTTCCCGACATTTTCTTCTCTCTGTATTTTTTATTCTCCCCTCGCGAGGAGCGAGGAGAAATCTTTTGGAACTCGACCGGCCGGGTGCCGGTGGTACCAGAAGCACTTTATAGTCTCGGTACGCGCGCGGCACATACGTGGGCTCCCGCTGGCCGATGCGCTCTCTCGGCGCCATGTTTGTTTTTCAGTTGTTAAGCGCGCAGCGGGCCGCCAGACAGGTTTAAATCAGCCTCCACCTCTCTCCGTTTCTCCTCTTCTTCCTCCTCTTTCTCTCCCTCTGCCGATTCTCTCTCCTCCAGCACCACCCCGCCTTCTCCCGTCCCCTTTCGCGCTCCACGGCCGTATGCACCACTCGGCCCGTGAGTCAGTCCGACCGGGTAACAAATTGCTTTTTGTTTGAACGGACAAATTAGTGATACGGCCGCGCCGGCACGGCGGAGGTGCCGGCCGAAAAGACAGACGGTGGAAGGGAAAAGGAGGAACGCGCGGTGTTTATTTAAACATCGTGGGCACCGTGAGTGCAGTTTCGCGCACGGGGGACATCCTCCTCCGCGACTCTACGTGGGTGTCGGCCGGATATCTCGTGTTCGAAGCTTCGGCTCGATCGCGACGATAAACGGGCGGCTACGATTTTTCTGCCGATTCGTCCGGCTCGTTAGACATCTCGAAGCTTATTGTCATTTTCATTATAGCCCACTATTGTTTCCGCCATTGTTCCGTATTTTTCTATCCCTGTGCTAATCTTTGCCCGACGCTCCGGTAACATTTGCACAGGATATCGTTGTTTGACGGATACAACAATCTCTTTTTAAGCGGATTAATACTTTGCTGTCACCGAGAAGCCACTGCTGTAAGCTTTGTGTCCTTTATTTGTGTTTGCTCAATCATCAAAAATCCTCCTCTTTTTGCCCTCGATCGTGAAACGATCGAGCACGATGGCACACGCGTGCTCGTCCTCCTTTTTTTTCCCTCTCCTTTCCCTCGCAACGTCGATCGTTAGTGTCGCAGCGCTAATCGGCCAGCGTAACGCTCTGTTTGAAAAGGTTCTTTGAGGCTGCTGTTGATTTTTCTGGGCGCTAAACGTTCGACGCGCCTCTCACCGGACGAAACCGACCGGAGAGAGATGGCTACGCCGGTGGACCACGCACGGCAGCCTGATCTCTTTTTTCCTCAGGAATGACCCAAAAAAAAGAACGCTCTCGCTGCACGCTCCGTTCTCCGTGAACCACTCGAGTTCACTTTGCACCTCCCGTTCCATTTCGGCCGTCGGAAGTGCTATGTCCAAATACGCGTTTTCTCTCCCTTTCTTTCATGGACTCTCGCGCGCACGTGCTCCTCGTAAAACCGACCGCGATATTAGTTACACCTACGGGCCTTTAAAGTTCCTCCCAAAGCCCAAAGGTGTGTTCTCGGCGCTAAGTGTTAGTGTCCGTACGATTCTCGTCGCCTATTGACACTGCGGACGTCTTCCTCACATTGGGCAAATAAAACTCGAGCGTGGCACGACCGTTTAACGTTAAAACGCGCGTTAATAATACGAGCCGCGGTCCCAAATCGATTTTTCAAACATTCCGTCTGTCCGAATTCTGCTTATCGGCAATCTCCCTCGTTCAATCCTGACGTGTCTCCCGCACGGAATTCCACGTCTCGCACGTTCCGCAGATCGATCGGACGAACGACAAGATTTGTCCATTGCCCGACGGTCGCAGATGACGAAAAACGATGTTCGATTTTCCCGGGTCGAGAGATTCACGTGGCCCTCCTCCGCTGTACTCGACGAGGAACGCGTCAACGTACGCGCGAACTAAAGTGGGGAATCCTCTTAGGCTAGTCACCAGACTGATCCGCTTTCCCGTGCGATCCTCTCCGAAGGAAGTCGCGTCGCCCGAAAGCAAGATTGATAAAAACGAGAATTTTCTCACGGCTCGCTCTAATCAGTTTTCTCGGATAGGGATTAGCGCGCCTCTCACGCACGCCATTACCTTCGATCATGCGTGACAGGAAATTTATTTCTGGAGGATGAATAATTTTCTCCCGGGAAGATTCAAGTTCCTCAATTAGCCGCCCCGCTTATTCAAAACTCGCCGAACAAAAATGCAACGTTCTCACGCGACGACGAGCGGAGTAGAGTGCGAAATTACTTGCAATTGAATATACTCTGCTTTTTTAATAAATGTATCGATCGTTTAAGAGACATTCAGACAGCTGCGTAATTAAGCGCGAGGATCAAAGGATTACTTACGTTTCAATCGTAGGGGAATAAAAAAGAGAATCGCGACATACTTTGTGGATCTCTTCCGTCGTTTTCATCACTTTCATTCGGTCGGCATTAATATCCCGAACGCGATAAGTACGCTCCCTTATAACTGATAGCGGGGCGGTTATTAATATACAAGTAAACGGAATTAGCTCCGACTATTTGTACAAGCCGACAGAGGGAGGACAAGGCTCGGAGCGAAAAGATGCTTTGATGCTGTCGGCGAGGGTCAAAACTCGCATAAAGGGCCGAAGATACGCCGTGCTCTATCGCCGAATTACGTATTCTATCTCGATGCCCTCCCGACCACGACGACTTTTGGATGAAAGATGCGGGGAAACGTACCGCTGGAATTAATTAAGCGTCCCTCTCGCTGACCCCGTAGCTTACTTCGCGTCGATTTAAATTCTGTCCCAGGCTTTTAACTTCATTTTTCGTACGAACCAGAGGGAAAGGGAATTTTTTAGTGTCTGTAAAATTTGGACTTTTTAGAAAATCATATTAAATATTATATTCGAGAGAACATTAAACTTTCACTCGCTAGTTTGCTTCCGTCGCAATCAATAATTCTACAACCACATAAGTACGGCCGCAACAATCAATAATGGGCCTTCGTTTCTTCAGGTAGACGCATAAATAAATAAGAATGATAACCCGTTCTGAGGATAGCTCGAAGCACAGCCGAAACGTACGAATTGTACTTTATGGATGCTAATTAAGTACTGCATATAAAGTTGACGAGGCGCGAAAGTTGAATAACCGCGTTTTGACTCTCGAAGCCCCGCTTTTTGCTATTCGTTGATTTAAATATTATTCCCCTTAATCCTGGAAAAGTACATAAAACTTATCGAATTTGCCATATCGAAATATCGATAAGTAGGATCCTAAGAAAAATAGAGCGGAGGAAGAAATCGCGGGAAAGTTCCCGTTGAAATTCCGAGCCACTTAGGAAAGACTAACGACGGCGCTCTTTGATTTCGTTCTCGCCACTTTACTCGAAGCTAATTTCCATGCTTAAGAAGTCGTAATCCGATCATGACCGTCGAAATGAAGAAGTTTTCGCTCACCCTTTGAGAATATCGACTTGCACTTGGCTGAAATTCGATAAAGTCGCGCGACTCGCGAGAATTCAACGGATGGAGAAACATTCTCCGGTCTGGCTGTTTCCATAGCGAGCGGCGCGTTTCGATATCTTTCCGATATTTCCGCGGGGGGTCAATCGTCGAGTCGGATTTCTACCAGTAACGACTCTCTGAAATCGGATAGATTTTCGTCTCGCCCGTTTCGTCGAAATTTATTCTATGAATAGGAAAACGGGACGCGATGCGATCGCGCGCGCGCGCGCGCTCGCGCTCGCGTTTAATGGGAAGGCGAGAAACACAGAGGCCATTGGTCCATTGAGAGTAACGGTCTCTTCCTTCCACGAGCGTCCGTCGATCGTAGTCGAAGGCGAATGCTGCTGGCTCTCCGCCGGGGGATCTTGCCGTTCTTTTTGTCCAAAAAAATTTATCGTCATCCTATTGCGAGTGGAACTCGTTTCCTACGCCACGATCGATTGCAAGAAATAGAAGGAAGGTAAGAGAGAAAGAGAGAAGGAGAGCTCCCCCCCCGTTTAGAAAGTCTAATAAACAAGAATGGAACAAATTTAGGGAGATACTGTTTGTACTTATGTGCGTAATGTCTCATTAGAAGTAAATTATTATAGACCCGAAGGCGTACAAGAATATCGTCGAAGGATTCCCGAGGACGGGGACAAAATCCGCTGGTAATAGCTCTCAGATAGGTGCGCCGAGAGATTTATCTTCTCGAAGATAGAAACGGCCGATAGTCTTAATTCCAGACTTAATTTCCGACAATCTTCAGGTCGATCGATTGTAATTCGGAAATTCTCAAAGCCTTCGATCTCGCGATCGGGAAAAACGTGCTGCGAGGCACAGAATTTGCGCCTGAAATGCCATTGTCCGCAGTTTTCGCATCGTCGAATTGCAGCTTGCAATTGCAGAGATTTGTTATGTAAGGGGTGCGATCTCTGCGAACGAACGAGTTGACCGAACCGCGCAACGTTACTTCCATAATGCAATAATAATGACGGCGGTGCCCCGACACTCGATGAACAGCAATCCGCCTTCATCCGAAGTGTATTCGGTAACTCGCCTGCCGAAAAAAGAACGCATCTCCTCGGCATCTCGCTTCCGTTGGATGCCCACGGTACCCGAGTTTATTTTGCAGCTGATGAAACGTGGCTGATCGCGGTCGCGGAGTTCCGACGAAAAGACCTGC